ATATAAGTGGATTGCCAGTTGATGTGAATTTTTTATTCAATCAGGCATATCTGAATGGATTCTCTCCAGACAACATTTTATTTCAGTTTCACGAGTTCGGGGATAGGGGAAAAAATTACCAAAGAGAATGAGACGAATAGTACTTGGGTTTTTAGGAACAGCTACTCCGCAGTAAGAGATCATAAATTATCTGGCTGGTTGGTAAAAATGTACGACGAAACCGTTGAATAAAATTTTATCACCATTCGTTATCATCCGTATTGATTTCCGTTACAGTATTCAATGAGGCGAGTGATTTTTTTTTTTGTATGGAAAAGTGTTCAATTCTTCATTCATCATCTCCATTCTTCCTCCAAAAAGGAAATCCTCTGGTCCGCGAATCTATGAACTTCCGGCTCGTTTGCATTTTATAATTTTTTTTTTCTTTTTCGATATGAAGAAATAAGAAGAATAAACTTTGGCAATTTTTCTGTGGCTCCCGAACGACGACCTTTTTCCATTCCTCACACTCTCACTCCCCGATTTATTCCTCTCCTCACCCTCTGATACCTATTCTTCACAATCACATCATATCGAGAAGTGTACTACTCTCTGATGAATCCTACAACCTGAATCATGTGTCCATCAATCTCAACTGACACGGAAGAATTACTGCTATCATTTCTATTTCCCTTGCTTTTTGCAATAATAAAAAGTGGAATCGATATTCCAGTTTTATTTCTATTTATTGTGGCTTTCGTGGTTATATTTTTCCAACTTCATTTTTTGTAAAATAATTGTTATTCTGTTTTTGTTTTAAAAGATCATGAGAACAAATTGTGTATTGTAATTATTCGGTATCCTTAATTAACAAATCTCCAACGAATTTATAGAAATTAATAAAAATACATAGAAAACATATTCCACTTGTGTATTTTTTAAATGTGAATTGGATTAATTTACAATATTCTTTTAATTACATTTTTCGTTCCTCGAGTCAAAATCTGAAATGTAAGCCCGACATTTCCCTTGAGAGAATGCTCTTTAATTTAATATATTTATTATTAACAAATAAATGACATCTACATATTTCCTCAACTGTTGTCGTTGGTAATTGAAAAAATAGGGATTTCCAAGAGATATTTATATTTCTCCCAGAGAAATGTGAAAGTTCGAATAGTGCGATGGGCAGAATTGGAGTGCAGAAAGAAATGTAGCTTTTCCACTTCTCAATTTCTCAACTCTATTCATTCCACGTTGGCGAGATTGGAAATGATTTTATGCTGGATGAAGTCGTTTAACCCCAGCAAGACCGAAGCGAGAAATAAAACTAAAATGAAAAAGTATGGAATAGTCTGGATGTAGGGGGTGCAGACACTTAAAATGGCGGGCAAAAGAGGAAAAACGAGGTTCTGCAATCGCAGCTGCAATGTCTCTAACTCGAACAAAGTGGATACGTCCCGTATGACGTCCGGACCCTATAAACTCACCATTTTCCTTTCCTCGAGATTTCTTCATACCACTCACTCTTCTTACGATATTTTCTTTCATTTCTAACTTGGAGATAGTGACAAGAGGCCGTTAAAAAATTTCATTATCCTTCGTCCTACATGGGGATCCGTTAAAAAAGGTGAATGGCTACGATAAACACGGCAAAAGTACGATGAAAATGGCATCATTTATGGGGACGATGAACTCATTCCGAGAAATTGACGACTTCGATCACATATTTGTAGTGATGGAGAATTAACTTAATTCTGGATTGTTTTAACTGTAAAGTGGTAAACTACGATAACTGCATTTTTTCTCCGCTCAATTTTTAGGCGATATCTCGGGATTGAAGGGAGATAGGCAATTTTTTATATTGACATTTTTTATAGGCAAGGGTGAGAGTTACAAAGTAGGTTATTATGAGAAAATCGATATCTTCCTTCAATTTCGAGATATCGGGGAAAAACTGGATGAGAAAAAAATACACTTATCCCAGTTCGCCATTTCGCAACAGAATTTAGTGACAACATTTTCAGATAAATGTTGTTACAATATAATGAGAACTAATTTTATAACTTCCAATGGATTTTGTAGGAAATAATTGAGAATTCAGACGAAATTCTAACTGGAATTCCGAGAAATCCCTAATTGCATAATAAAACTGATTGCAATCCTCTCAGTTCTTTATCGTAATCATAATCTTCTCGTTCTTAAATTAAAT